TTGGCCGATTCTCAGACCTACTCAATACGCTCACAAAATTTCATGAGAATCGGTCAAGCCGTTTCGGAGGAGTATGGGAACGAAAACTGTGACACGAGAATTTTATATATAAGATATATACAGTAAAATACCATTTAAACTAAAAATCTTCTGAATCAACCATAGATAAAAAAAATATATGTAGATATATTTTTTTAATCTATGGTTGATTATTCTAACAGCTTAAATTAATTTGTATAAAGGATTTTCTATTCTATTTAATGGATACTTCGTATTAAAAACGCAATACCAATATAGGCATTGCATGTGTCTAATTGGCGATTAACTTTTTTCGAAAGAGCGCACTATTGATCGACTTCAATGCATAGCCTATATTGGCATCTCTCTGCCTGAGGAAGGCCTACTCGACATGTGTGCATTTTATTGAATGCAGAAATACAGGAATATAATCTGACATTGGTACTCTGTACGCTTTATCAACTTTCACTCATCGTTTCAAGGCATTCGTATCCATTCGATATAAAGTTTTTATTGACCTATCGAGTTTGCCTATATTTTTAAATCATTACTAGTGCCTGTTTTACATCCATAAAAGGAAAAATTTAACAGACAAACTTGCACTCTTTATTTCATTGATTTATTTTTATTTGTCATGTTTTACGGCTCTGGATACGAGTCCTCTGTAAATGTCACTTTCGAGTTCGAAAGCGGACTTCGCGACTCGAACGGACTCGTTCTGTAAAACTCCAGAGGCACATCCTCTGGAGTCGGAACCAAGTGTTACAGAATACCAATGTGAAATCTCACCGCTGATTCTGCTTTCGAACTCGAAAGTGACGTTTACAGAATAGCTCTACAGTTCTCAAAATATGCGACGGGAGCCCGCCGACATATTGCCTGGCTTTTGCTTTTAAAAACAGAACGACATTGTTTCCAGTGAAATGAACTGGAAACAAATTAAATCGCATATACATTGGCAACAGTACGTGCGTCGCGATATAGTTTCAATTAAATTTGGAATCTGACTTTGACATTTGTAAATTGTATTGTAAAACTACTTACGAGTGAACTTGTTAAGGTTGAACTCAAATTGACTCGTATCCAGAGCCGTAAAAAATAAAAAGAAATCAATGAAATAAAGAGTGCAAGTTTGTCTGTTAAATGTTTCCTTTTATGTGTACATTTAAGGATGTAGAATAACACAAACTATAATATAAAAAGATATTATGTAAATTGGGCGATATATAATGATAAATCAAGTAAGTTTAAAATAAATTAAACTAATAAAGAGACCAAATTTGCCTGTTAAATATTTCCCTTTCGGTAAAGATATACAACCTTTAAGTATGTAAATATACAATAGATGCATCGCTTTATATGTTCTGTTCAGCGGCGGTTGATTGGTAGAGATGCATTCTCTACCAGACGAGTAGGCGGGCGCGACTGAAGGCCAACTCCCGCCTAGTGGATACGATTATAGTCTGAGGGCACCGCTAGCGGTTTCAGCCTTGGCTGCCCATTATAATTTCTATCTCCGTTTTTTAACGATAATTATATCTATAGGATAGATTAGAAAATAATTCATTCAAATAAACTTAATTTAAGCACTTTAGAATAGGAAACTTGTGTGTTGCTCTTTTAAATAATCCTTGTAAGTTCACATTTACAAGTCGAAACATATGAATATAACTACCAGCTAGCACCAATTTATTTGGGTCAAATATAAATATACAATAAGATTAAATCAGTCGTAGTAATAAGAGCAGACCAGTCCCTACAAGTATTTATCTATTATTATAACCTTTAATGATACAAATCAGCATTGAGTATTGATATATATTGATGGTAGATACAATCCGGCACAACAATCCGGCTCGAAGGACCATTTTATGTTTGGGATCCTACTCCTCGGAGATGAATCAAACTTGAGCGGACTATATAAACTGTTTTATTAACTTATAGTAGAGAGATACTGTAAACATGCGCTTACGCCGATGGTGCAGTGGCAAGTGAAAGTTAATCGGTTCGGGGCGTCGTTCCCCAGTCGTGCCCCTGTCTCTCAACGTCACTTCGCCCCCGCTGGCAGTGAACGCGCGAACAATATATTGGAATGAAATGCAAGTAATGAGCATTTCTGTATTGCCAGTGTGGTTGGTGATTAATATAGTAGAATAGAATAGAATAGAATAGAAAATCATTTATTCAAATAAACTTAATTTAAGCACTTTTGAATAGTCATAACAATTTGTTTTTTATCTACCACTCGTTCGGAAAGCTGTCTCATCACAAGAAGAACGAGCAAGAAACTTGTGTGTTGCTCTTTTAAATAATCCTTGTAAGTTTACATTTACAAGTCGAAACCTGTGAATACAAACTACCAACAAGCACTAATTTTTTGGGTCAAATATAATCATGCAATAAGATTAAATCAGTCGTAGTGATAAGAGCAGACCAGTCCCTACAAGCAGCACTCGTTCACGAGTATGACGGATGAGCCAGCCATCACGGCGCTCGACCATATTTTAGGGAGCCCATTGACCCGGCCCACCACGCCGCCACATGTCTGGACATTTTAGTGAGCATGACTACTCATTCCACACGACCACGTCACAACTACAAAAATTACTATATGGTAGTTACAGTATTCGCACTTTACATAAGGATGCATGCGGCAAAGTATAACTAAACACTAAATACTCATGTATATGAGAAAACTACTCCATCCTAAAACAAATCTATAGACGTCTAATATTCAGAAATATGGTTAACTAATATTGGATTGTATATTTTAATGAAATGCAACTAGTCATAATTTCTGAATTCCCAGAATGGTTGGTGGTATATGCATAGAATTACATATAGCATTAAGCCCAGCTTTCAGAACGAATTTCACTTAAGTTTGTATAAGCTGATTAAACTGATTTCCTACTAATGACGGGAAATCTAAAATCGTTAATAGATATTGATTTAGTTTAATGATTTTAGATATTCGTTCATTGAATTAATTATAGTGTATATAATTAATTTATAAAGTCTAGATAGAAGTAATCTTTATATAAATTTATACTTAATATAAGCAATTTTGAATAGACATTTTTTTATTACTCATTCGGAGCACAGGAAGACTCTTGTAGAGTAGACTCTACTCTTGTAGAGTAATAATTATTTCCATTAATTAATTACTGTTCTATATATATTTTAATATAGTATCTATGTAATATTAGTATAGTAGTATATATATGTATATGTACATTTAGTAAGATAATATATATAAAAGGAGAGTGAGTACACCGACAGATATGACGGCTGATAGAGATAGTGATCAATGGAAGAAGATAACATACTGCGCCAACCAATAATAATGGGATAAAAATAAATTAAATATATACACTATATTAAATATATAATATGCCGAAATCGTAATTAAGTTATAAATACACTTTGATATATGTATTCTGTTATAAAAAGGATGTTTTCCGAAGTAAAATTTTACTTTAATATTTTATATAATTTTTATATTAGTAACCTACTTGTTAGCTATGCGCCCCTTAGTAACCTACTTATTAGGTAACTAGCTATCCGCCCCCATCATACCTACAAACCTTCCCCTAGAAAAAGTCTATCAATTGCTAATAACTGCATCAAAATCTTTTGCATAGTTTAAAAGACCAAGGGAGTAGATGTCTAGAAATAGACTTCATTTTATACTATGTAAATATATACTTGTTATTACTATGATTATCATTACCAGTAGTTGAGAATAAAACACTACGGTGGCAACAGTAAGATAGAGAGAATATTTTTATTTATTAACCTAAGTTATTGACAATATTTCATCAATTAAACAAAAAAAAAACGTCATTTTTCAAAATTAGAACTAGCTTCTAATTTATTGCCCCCTTTTATAAAAGTCAATTAAATTAACCACGCCGTCTTAATCATTATCTAAATACTTTTAAAAAGATATATAATACTTATGTCTAAATTTAAAACTTTAAAGTAAAAAATATTTTAATTTAATTTAAAAACATTAAATGCTTTTCTTGTAAAAAAAAAATACATTTTTATTTTTTATTTTTTCTATTTAACCGACGACTTCTCACAACACCACTACACATCAAAATAGATGGCCTAAGTTGCCTCTAAAATATTGATAATAAATTATAAAGACGGGGTGTCTTTATAATTTATTATCAAAATTAATGATAAACAATTCATTAAAAGATAACAAAAAAAAAATGCGACCTCTAAAGAATAAAAAAATGTATAACTTACAATGTTGATGTTTAAAAAAACAACCGCTAAACAATAAAAAAATATATAACTTAAACAATGTCGATTGATTGATGATTGTTTTCCCGTACAATTTTTTTTTAAACTACGATGATGACAACCCAGCATACAGCCCATCTGATGGTAAATGGTTACCGTAGCGTAAGGACGCCTGAAACGCCAGGGGTGTCACGTGCGCGTTGGCGACCATTAAGAAACCTTAATATACCCTTGAAAAATTAAATTTAATAAAATTGATTTTAATGTTCTCTCAAGAATGCCATATTTACATTATCTTTTCAAAAGTAAAGCTTGTAGAACTAATTTGGGTCGTGTTTCGCCTGTCGTCTATCGCGCCTGTACAACGATCTTGCAGAGGAAAATCCGGAAGTAGATATTAACAGCCACTCCGAGTTCATAACTAAGCTCAAAAGTTATTGTATTACTGTCTACTCGCCCCGGCTTCGCACGGGTGTACATGTATTACACATATAAACCATCCTCTTGAATCACTCTAACTATTGAAACAACCGCTTTAAAATCAACGCTTTCTGTATACCTAAATGTTATCTGGTGGAGAATGCCATACTGCATTAAGCTCGCCTTTCTATAAGTTATATTGTGCATTAAAGAATAAAATAAACACATACCATATCCTTAGCTACCAGTATTACTCGAAAGCAACTCACAACAAATTTTCATGAATGTAATAATCAGTACATTTTCAGAATTTGGCTGGCGCGTTCTCTAGTAAGAGGACTTACGGTCCACCTGATAAAGAGGAAAGGAAAAAGAGGCAAGTGTTTAACGAAACTATTCAATTGCGACAGTGCACGCATAACTGTCATGTTTTAGATGTGAGTACGTACTAAAGTAAACTCGATTAGATTTCATAAATATTTTAATAATAATAATAATACACACACACATATACACACACATAGACACACACACATTGCACTTGATTTCGATTAAAAAAACCAGCAACAGCTGAGAAAATGCAGTGTAAATAATATATATATATATATATATATACATACATATATATACGGTAGAGTGAAGAACCAGAGTGACCGACATAGCCCGAAGAATTGCGACTTTGAAGTGGCAATGGGCGGGGCACATAGCTCGTAGGACAGATGGCCGTTGGGGCAGTAAAGTCCTCGAGTGGCGACCACGGACCGGAAGACGCAGCGTGGGAAGGCCTCCAGCAAGGTGGACCGACGATGTGGTCAAGATCGCTGGAAGGCATTGGATGAGAGCAGCGCAGGACCGATCGTTGTGGAGATCTTTGGGGGAGGCCTATGTCCAGCAGTGGACGTCTTCCGGGCTGCGATGATGATGATGATGATATACGGTAGATGCAACAAAGCGTAATAAAGCAGGTAAAGCTGTGAAAATAGTAATATCCCTGAACAATTCACACAGCGCTATCTAATCCCAAGTTAAGCAACGTGTATTATAGGTACTAGACTACTAGTAAATATATTTACATACGTTTTGTAAATACATACAAAAAATATGCATCTAAATATATTTATACATAGACTAATATAAACAATCATACTAATGAATACAAATGTTTTTACTGTGCTAGGAATTGAACCCGCGACCATCGGAAATAAAGTGCTAAATGCTACACTACTGAGATGGTCATTACATTATTTATTTCAAAACTAGCTGTTACCTGTAACCTCGTCTATTTGTTTGAGATAAGGAACCTATAGATATATGCAGGAAGGTGTATGTGTAAGACTTGGTGCATTTTGTATGAAATTGTAGTTTAAGTACGCCTATAGAAGGGTATCAATATAATATAATAATAATGTCAGGACAATTCACACAGCGCCATCTAGACCCAAGTTAAGTTAGCTAAAGCTTGTGTTATGGATACTAGACACCCAGACCGATACAAACAATCATACTCATGAATACAAATGTTTGTTCCGTGCGAGGAATCGAACCCGTAAGGACGGACGTAAAGCGGTGTGCTAGACCGCTAGACCACCGAGGTAGTTTAATAATTCTGTTTGTTCATAATTAAATATTAATAACCATATTAAACCATAATAAAATTGCATATTGTATGTTAATATCAAATAACATTAAAAACCGCAATTTTGCTATTGGTATTTAATGTTGATTCGTATAGGGAGTGGTTCAGTTTATTTTAAAGAATTACTACCGCTTCACTACACTCTGTAGTCATCGATGCATGAATATTTTCTCCATATTTTATCATTTCAACGTAATATGCAGTCATCGACCAGCATCGAATGTTGAACCGAAGTTTTATTTCTATACTATCTGCACTCGCGACTTCCTCCAAGTGGAATTTAACAAAAAAGTTAATTACAAAATTTTTCTAAAATAACAGTAGCCTAAGTTTCTCCTTATTACATCAGCTACCTGCCAATGAAAGCCCCGTCAAAATCGGTCCAGCCATTTCAGAGATTAGCCGGAACAAACAAGCAGACAGACAGACAAAAATTGTAAAAAATGTTATTTTGAACCGTATATTCATATGCATGTAGTAAAAAACGGTTATTTCAATATTACAAACAGACGCTCCAATTTTATTTATATGTATAGATTTTCTGTCATTCCCAATGCTTTTTTCATATATGTTTACACTATTTATTTAAAACAAATACTACGTTAATATTTGTACATAAAAATAAATTACACTACAAACGGAGCACACATGTCCATTATTAACTGTCAATATTGTGATGAATGCAATACTTGACATGTCGACATTTCGCTGTATATATTTGAACTAGCTTTTGCCCGCGGCTCCGCTCGTGTTAATTTATCCCCTTTAGGGTGGATATTATCAAAATCCTTTCTTAGGGGTTGCCTACGTCATAGTAGCTTTATGCATGCAAAGTCTCAGCCCGATCGGTTTAATATTGACAAAGTTTCATACAAACTTTCATTCCCTATTTTATCCCCTTGTGGATAAAATTCATCAAAATTTTTTTTAACGGATGCCTACGTCATAACATCTTCCTGCATGCCAAATTTCAGCCCGATCCGTCCAGTGGTTTGGGCTGTGCGTTAATAGATCTCTATGACAGTCAATCACCTTTGAGTTATATATATTTAGATATATAGAAGACAGTTTTTGGTTTGATAGATTTTTGTTTCGGACTACTCAAATACTGTTGGCCGCAGCTGGCCTTTACAGCTTCACCGGATGACGGCACTCGAAACCCGCGGAAGGACTTATGGAGCGGCTGAAGGCCAACTCCCGCCTGACGGATACGACTTTAGTGCGAGGACACCACTTTGGGTTCGAACCTTGGCTCAGGCCATCGTAATTTCGATCCCCATTTGAATTAGACGGGGTATCGATTTTTTTATAGATGATAATGGAATGTTGCACCCGCCTGCACTAACGGTTTACGCTGGCGGGGCACCAGTGGAGGATGATAGGATGAACCTGAAGTCAGATCAGTTAGCTCAACGTGATAATTTCACCGGGACTTTATAACGATGGTTTCCAGGGGGAACCGCATGGAGGTCGACCTGACCCATTGCTAGCAATGGGGTCAACAGTCCACATTACTAACAATACCCTTCCCCCCCGGGGGATCGATTGGAGGGGCTTGGTTTGATAGTGATATATACAGCGTAGAGACGAGTCGGACTCAAAAAAAAAATTGTGTATCGTATACAAAATTTTTTTTTGTGTCAGTCAGACTTGAACCGGTGTCCTCTGACTAGGGTAGTAAAGCAGAAGGCCACGAATATATCAACATAATAAGATTAATACATACATTATATATTTGCTTCAGTATAATATATGTATATTACTAATACCGCCCACACGAGGCACCGTTTGCCCTTTACTTGAGAAAAGCCGTAAGGTGCAAAGTCCTTTATATATACCAATTCATGCTAATAGTATAAAAGCAAAGTATATCTGTTTGTTGATACCTTTTATGACTACACGGCTGAACATATCTTAATTAAAGAACCTTTTGTTACCAAATTATATTTAGAGTGGAGTGAAATCTTATTATAAATGAGTAAGTTTGTGAGTGGATGGATGTTTGATACTATTTCACGCAAAAACTACTGAACAGATTTTGAAATAGAAATAATCATTATTCAAACAAACTCATTACAAGCACTTTTGAATAGTCATATTTTGATTCTACCACTCATTCGGAATGCAGATTCATCACAAGAAGAATGAGCAAGAAACTTGTGTGTTGCTCTTTTTAATAGATGTTTTTTATATAAATAATTACAGTATAACAAGTAAGAGGCATGCGATAATAAACATAGAAGTCGCTACGCACTCATTATTAATGTAATCAAATAACATTGTCAGTGCTATGGATTTAAAGTTTTTCTATAAAAACATTATTTTCGTTAACAAATTCTTTAATTTTATAGTAAACTTTTTTGCAAAAGAACTGTTTTATTTGACATTTAAATCTTTTTTCTGGAAGATTTATAACAGATTTCATGAAACTTTACAGTATTATAGGTTATACATCAGAGTACACATCACATAGGTTGTAAATTTCATGCAATTGAAACCGCGGGCACAGGTAGTAGGAAAAATTCTAAAAAAGAATTAGTGAAATCGGTTCAGCTGTTCTCGAGATTTGCGCGTAACAATTCAGCGATTTATTTTTATATTATTGAAGATATAGTACGGTACTTACTTTTGTAAAAAAAAAAATAACTTTCTAGTATATGTAGATAGATAAATTATTTATTGACTGATTACAAACACAGCATAATAGATGTACAAAAAAAATTGTACGAATAAAAGAAATGGAGGTAGCTTTATGTGTAGTTGGCGGCGTTGATATTCCATGGTTTGCTATTACATAAAAACATATTTATAAGTACGGCCCTATTAATATGTGAAAGTCGTGTATTTTTATAATAACAGTGAATATAATTACAAGTAATGCGATGTATTATGTTATATGTTATTAGTTTAATGACATATAATTTTGAAGGGCTCTATGGTCCAGCGGTTTGTTCCTTCCGATGGTCGTGTGATCAATTCCTCACATTTGTATTAATAATTATTTGTGACAGTCTGGAGGTTTTCTATGTATATTATGAACGTATTAACCAAAACATATCTATATATTTATATCAGTTATTGAGTACCCATAACACAAGGTCTGCTTACCTAGAAAATTTTTAATTGTAAATACATAGATGTATTTATATAAAAAAATCTATGTATGTGTATCAGTCATCTAGTACCCATAACACAAACTCCTGAAATACTATATTATTACTAGCTGTCCCGGCAAACGTTGTTTTGCCATATAAATTAATAACGCTACAAAAAAAATAGGGGTTGATGATAGAAGGGTGAAAATTTACGATTGTATGTATTTTTGTATGTTGTATCATAAAAAAATAGAAACTAAAAATTTTGTCTAAAAAATAAAAAAAAATGTAGGGGTGGACTACCACTAACATTTAGGGGGATGAAAAATAGATGTTGGCCGATTCTCAGACCTACGCAATACGCTCAAAATTTCATGAGAATCGGTCAAGCCGTTTCAGAGGAGTATGGGAACGAAAACTGTGACACGAGAATTTTATATATAATATTATTTATACTACTTGAATAGTAAGGTTTATGTACATTGATATAATCAAACTTTTCGCGAGTCAAATCTGATTGTGCAAGACCACGTTTACAAACTTAGATGGAGATGCAGTTATGACGAAAAGACATCTCATTTTAAAGTAGATTGCTGAGATTTCTTATATTACATTTAGAGATTAATTACATAAGTGTTTGTCTGAAAAATTACCTTTCTTTGTTTTCATTTCCTAAACAGTAATTTTATTTTTATACTGCCTTTACTTTGATCTACAATACATGGCCTGTTTAAGTGAAGTATAAAATGTACGCCTCAAGGAATCCAAACTTTATACTACTCGTAGTGTTCTCGTTTGAATTCTAATCATGCAACAATGCCACAGAACGGACAACGGGCATGTAAACAGAGCGAAGTTTGACCAGTAGCTCAATCCGGAAAGCGGCGTTAGTAGAACAAAGCCGTCAACAATACGAAAACTATTGGCTGTGTTACCGATAGTATATGATAGAATTGTTCACAGGTATCATGTTTCAATGCAACTATTAGAAGTTGGAATAGAAACTATAGGTTTACAGTCAGTTATCATACTAGGATGATCACTGACTGTAAACCTGTTCAATATTACAATGTAACGATTTATCTTTCATATGTTGTACGTGAAGTAAATAGAATAGAACATTCTTTATTCAAATAAATTTATTTAAGCACTTTTGAATAGTTATAATTCTTCTATCATTCTTCTTATAATCTACAAAGAAACTTGCGTGTTTCTCTTTTAAATAAACGTTGTAACTTTACATTTTTAAGTCGAAACGTGTAAATACAAAATAACAACTAGCACTGATTTATTATAGTCAAATATTATATGTAGTGATTAGAACAGGCCAGTGTCTACAAGCAGCACTTGTTCACGAGCATAACGTATGAACCAGCTATTATTAAAACCTTTGTAATAGAAATAGAAATAATCTTTATTCAAATAAACTCATTACAAGCACTTTTGAATAGTCATATTTTGATTCTACCACTCATTCGGAATGCAGATTCATCACAAGAAGAATGAGCAAGAAACTTGTATGTTGCTCTTTTTAATAGATGTTTTTTTATATAAATAATTACTGTAATTATATCAAGTAAGAGGCATGCGATAATTAACATAGAAATCGCTACGCACTCATTATTAGTGTAATCAGATAACATTGTCAGTGCTATAGATTTAAAGATTTTCTATAAAAACATTATTATCGTTAACGAATTCTTCAATTTCATAGTAAGCTTTTTTGCAAAGGAAGTATTTTATTTGACATTTAAATCTTTTTTCTGGCAGATTTATAACAGACTCTGGTATTTTATTGTAAAACCTTACGCAATTGCCATAAAACGAATTACTAACTTTAGCAAAACGACATTTAGGTAAAATCAGTTTGTTATTGTTACGTAAGCTTTTATTGGTGCAATCACTAACTCTTTTGAAACTGTCTATATTCTTTCTGGCATACATGATATTTTCATAAATATATTGTATCCATTGAAAGCACATTATATTTAAAAAGAGGCTTTGCCAGTGTACATACAGTAATTTATTATAGCCGATTATATATATATTTTTTAATTGAAGTTAATGGAATGGTGCATCCGCCTGCGTTAATGGCTTACGCTGGCGGAACACCAGTGGAGGATGATAAGATGAACATGAGGTCAGGTCATTTTAAATTCACCAGGAATTTACCACAATGGTTTGCTTTTAAAAATTAAGTGGATACCTATATATGTAATAACTCTGGACAATCCAATCATCTATACTAATGATAAGCATGGCTTGTGTTATCGGTACTCGAATACTAATCATCATCATCATCATCATCGCAGCCCGGAAGACGTCCACTGCTGGACATAGGCCTCCCCCAAAGATCTCCACGACGATCGGTCCTGCGCTGCTCGCATCCAATGCCTTCCAGCGATCTTGACCAGATCGTCGGTCCACCTTGCTGGAGGCCTTCCCACGTATATAAGTACTTAATTTTTTCGTAAATCATCATCACCTGTTTCTTCCTTATCCCATTTATTTGTGGTCGGCGTAATATGTTTTTCTCTTCCATTCATCCCTGTTCGCAGTCATCCCGTTATTTACTCCCTTTCTCACCATATCATCTTTCACACAGTCCACCCTTCTCTTTTTCGGTCTTCCTATAATAATAATCTTTATTTGTCTCAAAATAAAACTTTTCACACAATATAACTGTGCACATACAATAATATAATTTAAAACTATTGAATGAGACAAAACGGTCTATAACTCAGTGGGGGCAGTGAGTCCACCCTCTCTGCTATTCTGTTATGGCCTTTATCAGTAAAATAATACAATATGAGATCGACGACAACGATAGCATATTAAGTAACCATCCACATTCATATGTAACACCGTCCTTAGGATATGATCTTCATTCCTACTTAATTTTTTCGTAAATACAGACAGAATATACATAAAAAACACGCAGTGTGAAGAATCCGAGACCATTTGAAATAAAGATGGCATGCTAAACTTCTAGACCACTGAGCATCATATGAAAAAATATAAATTCTGTTCGAATTTTATATGAAGATTTTAATAATCGTTATCAACTTTCCACATTGCTCATTATCCAAATTCTTGACAACTGACCTTGTACGTTGTATTGAATTAAACAAAGTAAAATATTTATTGCTTAATTTCGCAATGAAACACAATATGTCAATCATATATTAGTGTGATGTCAATTAGAGGCACAGACCAGATATTGTCTCTAGGTATTTAGACAATTATAATTTAAATCTATCAATGTCAAATACATATTAGTCTGTGATTAAACAGTAGAGTTGAGTGGAGTCTGTGGTTAATGATCTATATTTATATGTATATACTAGCTGACCCTACAAATGTTAACCATGAAAATGAATATCACTATTGAGGGGAAATGGGATTGTGAGTAATGTGGACTAAGGAACTCATTACTAGCAATGTACCATGTCAGGCTGACCTCCACGCGGTTCCCTCTGGAAACCATCGTGATAAATTCTTGGTGAATTTGTCACGATGGGCTAACTGACCTGACCTCATGCACACCTTATCATCATTCTCAACTGGTGCCCCGCCAGCCCAAACCACTAGACGGATCGGGCTGAAATTTGGCATGCAGGTAGATGTTATGACGTAGGCATCCCCTAAGAAAACATTTTGATAAATTCCTCCCCTAAGGGGATAAATTAACGCGAGCGAAGAAGCGATATATATTTAGATTAAGATTAAGATGCTACAGAACGGATTTTAATAAAACTACAGTAATATAGCTTATATTTCAGAATAACACCTAGGATATAGTTTGAAATGATGTTGTGTAAATTGAGACCAGTTATAATTGTACGGTTTATTATTTACAGGATGTGTTTGACTGTTTTCATGTGCCATTAATATCCAAAAGCAAACTATCGTCGTCGAGTTCAGAATCACTAACAAATTTATATGAAGCCGGGACATCTAAGAAAATGTCTGATGCTATAGAAGTGCAATTGGGTCATCACTAAAGTGTTTGTATTTTTTTATAGATGTTTGTAATTATGTGATTATAATTTTATGTTCATCTTTTGTTTAAATTTTTACACACGTTTTACAAAAAAAAACTGACAGGTGATAATGATGGTCATCATCAGCATCATCATCATAGTTGTCGTCTTGTCGGAGGCCTTCCCACGCTGCTTCTCAGGTTCGTGGTCGCCACTCGAGGACTTTACTGCTACAGCAGCTATCTGTCCTACGATCTTACATAGATCTGCCTATTGCCACTTTAGTTTGACAATTCCGTGGAATTGTCGAACTAAAGTGGCAATCTGGTTCTCTCTGGTCACTCTGGTTCTTCTGCGGATCTCCTCATTTCTGATACGATCACGCAGAGAAACTCCAAGCATAGCTCCACTCCATTGACTTCTGAGTAACTTTGAGCTTATTTATGACACCCATCGTTAGCAACCATTTCAGATTCTATTGGAAATAAGCGATATATGCAGCAGATAAAAATATTAAAATCATTATAATTACACTAAAAGAATACTGAAATACAGCGACACGTTCTATAAAAATGTACAAAAGATTTATTATTTAAAATAGTCAGCATTATACTTTCAGTAGAGTCAAAGATTTTGATTCGTTATCGGTTCTTTAATTACTGGAGATTAACTTGACCCATAGAGCGTAATAGGTCTCTTGTTCGCCGCTCCAATTCACAATTTATATTTTACACTCGCAAAAATCGCCAGTTCAAAACGAACCAACACGAAAAACGACGTTATAATTCTAACAATACCGATAACTAACCAAATTAATTCGAGCGACGGCAACAGTTTTGTTGTTACGTTGAATTCAAAATATATTCTGAAATGCGGACATGTGAAGTGTTGCGTTGGTATTGGTATCGACAGTTGACCATTCCATTTAATAGACAGTTTTTTTACTCTTTACAACCATTTCTATAGGAGAAGAAGAATATCAGGAGAGTATTATCAACGATTGACCATTCAATTTATTAGACAAGTTTTTTTTTATCTGTATAACCAACTCGATAGGAGAAAAAGAATGTTCATCATCATCTCAGTCCGGAAGACGTTCACTGCTGGACATAGGCCTCCCCCAAAGGTCTCCACGACGATCGGCCCTACGCTGCTCACATCCAATGCCTTCCAAGAAGAATATTAGAAGAGTATTCTAATATTCTTCTTGGAAGTATATCGTATTAAATTTAAATAGTATTAAAATTATATAACATTAAATTCCAAAATATAATATATAATGTATAAATAAAAAATAATAACAATAATATCAGGACAATTCTAACAGCGACATCTGGACCCAAGTTAAGTCTGTGTTATGGGGAAATACATAGATATATTTATTTTCATAAATATATACATATTATACATTGAAAACACCCAGAGCGACAAGCGAATATGTTTGTGCCCTACGAGGAATCGAAGCAGCGTCCATCGGAAGTAAGGCGGTATGCTTAACCACTGGTCCACCGAGGCTGTCATAAATAATAATATACACGTTTGTAATTAAATAGTAATAGAAACATATCACGATAATGAATATATAAGCTATCTATTATCTCAATTAGCTAAACAAAGTCGCGAGTAATAGCTATGAATATTATAAATGCAGTAGTGTTACCGTCAGTCTTAATTTTGTTACCTTATACCGACTAAACAGCTAAATGCATTTAATGAAAATTGACGTTTAGAACCGGTCTATCGTCTCTACGAGAAAAGTCACTACTATTGGTAATACGGTTCATTCCCGGGAATTCTCCAATCGAAAATTCCTTATTCATAATATGTATAAAGTTTTTAAATATACTCAATAAATGTTTTATAATTACTTTGATACTTTTAATTGAAAGGAAAACCACTGAATTTGTTTATGTTATTGGAACCAAATAATATGAGAAAACGTACGTGAATGTAAATTTCTCGACAACCCGAGAAGACCTGAGAAATTAACCTCGAGAATTCTCGATACCCGAGCTTTCAGCTCGAGAAATCATGAACCCTAATTGGTAGGCAACAACTTTTTTAATGGATGCAAATGAAATAAAGCAGTCGCTTGTGGTAAAGATGTATGTTGGTGGGTTCCTGTGGAGGGCGATAAAATGAGAATGAGGTCAGATTGGTTAGCCCATGGTGATGAATTTACTTGTTTTCCAGGTGGAACTGCGTGGACCTTGACCTGATATAGTATATTGCTAGAAATGCAGTCAAGTCCCATTTACTTTGAAAATAGTGTTAAAATAAGATTTCATATAATTGTATATGCAATGTAAGAATTCATAATGTAACAATACAACACAATGTAATGAAAACTGTGAAATTAGTAGTAGTGTAAGATTTATATAATTGTATATGCATATTGGTAAATGTAACTGGCTCCTAATAAAGATGGATGACACTACATGTTGTCATCTCACCCGGCCGGCCAGCGGTGGTTCTGGGCCAGACGGATAAGGTCTGCCTCGGTGCCACTGTTAGGCAAATTGTAATATCTCGGCTGGAGTTGTACAAAAATGGTAATTAAATAAATACAATAATATTAAAGAAAATTTAAAAAGGCACGGACGAATATGTCTGTGGAAAATTGTATTTAAAAATTAAAAAATAAAAGTTCATTTTACTACCAATCTCCATCTACCCTGTAGTAAAAAGTATTTTATTAGGGATGATAATGGAACGGTGCTCTCACGTTAACGGTATATATTGGCGGGGCACCAGTGGAGAATGATAAGATGAGAGTTAGATCAGACTGTTAGCTCATCATGATGACTTCACTTGGTTTCTAGGTGGAACCACGTGGACTTTGACCTGATATGGTACATTGTTAAATACGCGGTCCTGGTCCCTATATATCAATACCCTCCTGTAGACAAAAGTATTTTTCTTAAGGATGACAATAGAATGGTGGATTCATCTGTGCTAATGGTATACTGGCGGGGTTCCAGTGGATGATAAAAAGATAATGAAGTCAGATTGGTTATCCCATCGTGATGAATTTACTTATTTTCCAGGTGGACCTTAACCTAATATGGTATATAGCTAGAAATGCAGTCTCTATTATTACCAATCCCTTACTCTCTGCAGGCAACAGTTTTTTTTTAGTTAAGAGATAGTGAATTCTACGCTATCTGTATCCGCTGCCGGAGCACCAGATGACAAGATGAGTATGACGCCAGGTCAGTTACCTTTTGTGGCAAATTCACCAGGAATTCAACATTATGGTTGCATCGCATGGAGGTCAACCTAACATGGTACATTGATAACAATGGGGTTAATCTTCCATATTACTAACAATCCTGAAGCCCTGTTTTTTTTTTACGGATGATAATGGGATGGTGCACCCGCCTGCGCTAACGGTTTACACTGGCGGGGCACCAGTGGAGGATGATAAGATGAACATGAGGTCAGGTGAGTTAGCCCATCGCGACAAATTCACCAGGAATTTAACACGATGGTTTCCAGGGGGTACCGCGTGGAGGTCAACCTGACATGGTACATTGCTACCAATAGGATCAATAGTCCACATTACTAACAATCCCCTTTCCCCCCTCTTCTGCCCTGTAGGCAACAGTAAGTAACTCTGAGTCTATATGTACCTTAAATTTAACGGAAATTACCTTCCAGTTCCATTTTCAGTTATCAGGTCAGGTTTGGAATCTGAATAATTTAACATGTAACATGAACCCTGGATTATCGTTTCTATAAAGTCATTTTAATGTTAAACCAAAGATATGGGATTGGCATCTAGTATCCAGCATTTGCTATATTTCTAAAGGACGGTATCAGTATTGGTATTCTGCAAGCGTTTTATCAACTCATTTCACACATCGCTTCACTGAAGGCACTCGTATCACTTGTCAAATATAAAGTTCCTACTGAGCTATCGAGTTTGCCTTTATTTCTAAAAAAGTCACTACTGCCTGTTTTACCTCCATCGTTCTCGAGCGTGTGGCACCGTAGTCGCTATCGAGTTTTATAGAAAACCAATGTACAATCTCAAATTCAAACGTAAGCAATTTACAGAATAGTTCTACTGACCCTAAATAATTAGGCATTTGCGAACTATCGTTGTCTTTATAGGTATTTCGACTTACCATAATTTAGGTCTAGTTTTGGTCAGATAGTAAAGCTATTTTACTATACTCAAATTACAAGAGAATTGGTACCAGATTAATGGCATTCTTGGTTAAGTCTACATTCCCAATGGCGGTAAAATATACTATAATATATAATTATTGAACCAACCATATACAAATTACCTGCAATCCTGACTAGCGTAAACTATTATGTGTCGGTAGTTTAATAAACAAGGAATTCAGATTCAAATAAAGGTGAAATTTGTTTTGATTTACATAAGAATCATAAACGATGTTATTTTATTTGTGTATATGTGTGAGTGTATATGTTATCCATGTGTACATAGGATTCAAATGTATATATATTCACATAAAGGTATTGATTTATTTCTAAATTATACTTTATGCGCTGTAGGATTGTGCAGATGACAGTTGCTATATTTAACATTTACCAGTTGCTAAATTTATGCTACTACAGTTACTAATTATTTAATATATTTTAAGTTTTAATGATTGCTGATAGCGATAAGGCCGCCTTTTGTAAAACATTTATTTTCATTGTTTTGTACTGTCCTATGTTTATGTATGCGCTATAAAGAGTTATTATTATATTACGAAAATGGTACAGCTGAAATTATGCGCCAACTTTCAAGAGTGAAACGATTTTTTACTGAAACTGATCCGCAGAAGAACCAGAGTGACCGATATAGCCCGAAGAATTGCGACTGAAGTGGCAATGGGCAGGGCACATAGCTCGTAGGACAGATGGCCGTTGGGGCAGTAAAGTCCTCGAGTGGCAACTACGGACCGGAAGACGCAGCGTGGGAAGGCCTCCAGCAAGGTGGACCGACAATCTGGTCAAAATCGCTGGAAGGCATGGGATGCGAGCAGCGCAGGACCGATCGTCGT